ATTTTATTTTTTATTTTATTTTATTTTTTATTTATCCTTCATTTATACAGGAAGATCTCTTGAGACTCATCGTCTCATTTACAAGAGAGACTTGTTACATCCACCACAACAAAGTAGCTTAAAAACAATAATAATTGTGTCCCTGGTGGAGACTGGAGACCTGTCCAGGTGTCTCTGGTGAACTGGAGACCTGTCCAGGTGTCTCTGGTGAACTGGAGACCTGTCCAGGTGTCCCCTGCCTTCACCCAAAGGCAGCGAGGACAGGTTCCAGCCCCACCCTGACCCTGATGACAGGAGGAGGATTTTTTTAATAGCAGGAAACAGATATTTAATTATAAAACATGATTTATTTGATGCTAATCTGAGTTAGTTTAGTGTTTTTTGTAAATATATTTGACTGTTTTGTAGGAATGAACATGTTTGTAATGTTTGTTCAAAATAAAGCTACATCTGTGTTTTTATGATAAACTATCAGTAAATTCCTCAAATGTCCTGTTTCTAATAATATTAGAACTAGAAGAACTATTGTAGATATAAAAGAAAACAGTTAAAAATGCAACTATCAAAAATCTTCCTCTTAATCACTGAAAATAATTTATACAGCACGTTGGTTCTGTGGGTTTTATAAATGGTGTTTTCTGCTGTCCAAACCAAGTTTCTTCTGCATGATCCTGTAACTGTAGCGCCCTCTAGTGACAAACAGAAACTGAACAGAACAACAGAGCACAATAGTTTAGGTTAGTTCACATTCCCAGAAGGACTTCCATTTGTTAAATAACTAAAAGATAAGAGATATTTTTTCAATAAATTCTCTTCAAAATAACAAATTTACATATATTTTTGAAAGATTATAGAAGCACTTGAACTTTAGGACTTGGGTCAAAGTTTTTGGGATCCTTCCACAAGCTTCTCACAACTGTCTGCAGGAATCTTCACAATCAGCATATTTAGTTTCTGACCCAGAATTGATCAAAAAGCCAGGATGGTTCACATCATCATAATCATCCTCATCCTCATCCTCAGCTTCTGAAGACAATCATCTTCTCGGGTTTGTAGGTCCTAATCCTCCACTGGCCTCTGTACAATAAAACTCTCTAGAAGATTCTGACAGCTCCAAATGGTGAACGTCTTAAACATAATACAAAGTGCAACAGATTAGTGTAAAACGTTTTATACATGCTAAATAAGCTAAAAGAACCAAACCTGATGGAACATTTTTGACATGAAAGACAAAGATTATTCAAATGAAGTTTTACTTTTTATTCAACATAAAAAAGATGACAATGAAAATTGTTTGGAGTTGCAACACAGATCCAGACAAACATTTCACAAACGCAGTCATTTAAAAACCGTTTACTACCAGTTTTCTTCTAATTTCATACTTTAAACAAGTCTATGTGTAAGAGGACGTTTTTAAGTTGCTCTTCTCAAAACAGAAAAAAAGTGTTTACATGTTTATGTAATCCCAAGATATTTTAACATGTATTCATTTTATATTAATTTCTGTATCAGTTTATAAATTCCTACGACTGATTTAAGTTAAAAAAAAGGAAGAAAAAAAAAGGAAAAATTCCTCCATTTTCTTCCAAGTGGATCAATGTTTTAGGGATCCTTCCACATGCTTCACACAATAGTTTGCTGGCGTTTTCTCAAACTAATGATGGAAGGCATAGTAAACTTAATTTATTTTAAGTGCATGGATAAGTATAGATAAATAAACTCAATTTTTCCTCCTGTGTGGCGAATCATTACCCATCGACTGATTTATCTTCTGTGTGGATTCTCATGCGTCTTTTTAAATTGCTCTTTGAGATAAACCCTTGTTCACACAGATCACAACAAAATGGTTTCTGTCCCGTGTGCCTACATGTGTCTGTTTAAAGTTTCCTGACGGTTGAACCATGTGTTTGTTTAACGTAGCCTTTTGAATAAATTTTAGCTCACAAACATCACAACAAAATGGCTTCTGTCCCGTGTGGATTCTCACGTGTGTGTTTAAATTACTCTTTCAGCTAAAATTTAGCCCATAAAAATCGCAACAAAATGGCTTCTCTTCTGTGTGGATTCTCACGTGTGTGTTTAAATTACTCTTTCAGCTAAAATTTAGCCCACAAAAATCACAACAAAATGGTTTCTCTTCTGTGTGGATTTTTGTGTGAGTGTTTAAATTATTCTTTCAAGTAAAACCTAGCCCACAAAAATTACAGCAAAACGGCTTTTCTTCTGTGTTTGTTCTCATGTCAGTGTTTAAATGGCCTGTTTTGCTGAACCTTTGCCCACAAAGCTCGGTTGGACGATCTTTGACTTCAGATTGGTGCTGATGAAGCTGTGAGGATGGAGGTTTCTCTTCATCATCTCTACTCTTCAATGGAATTGCAGTCAATGAAATGCTGGTGGCATCAGTCCCCTCCTTCACATCGAGTTGCTCTCCATCCAGACTGGTCTGTAGTTCCTCCTCTTCCTCATTTATGTGGAGGCGTCCTGGGTCCTGCTGGTCCACACCAGGCCTCTGTTCTTCAGGAGCTTCGTCTTTATTCAGCACTGAAACCTGAGCATCTGCAGGAACCACTGAAACACAGGTACAGTATATTGGATGTAACAGGAACCAGCAAGATCTATATCTATATTTCAAATATCTTGGAACTTGCTCAGATTATCTATTTGGTTAAGTGCAGATAAGAACAATACATTTCAAAATGAACTGTTAGAATAAAATCAATGAAAGCAGTAATTATATTTTATTGGTTATTGTTATTTTGCTATACCATTACCCTATCTCAGCCATCCTTGAGGTCTGACACTGGGCAATGGGCAAGGCAGTTACTGAGATATTTGTCCGTAGGCTACATCTTTAGCTTCTTATTGCTGTTGAACATCTTGGTTTGGGTTTGAGCTTAATAATAAAGGCAGAGTGCATTAGAGACACCAGCTTCACCTTCCTCATCTCGCTGCATTTCAGGAACTTTTGTCCACAACGAAGTCCTTTAATGAACTGCCACTCCGACATCTGACATCCTCAAGTGTTTTCTCTGCCACAAGTTGTATAAAAACATTAGTAACTGCACAGATAAACTGAACCGCGGTCGCAACTAATAGCAAAGTTAGGGTTTGTTATAAGCGTGACTCCTGACCCCTACCCAGGATGCCCTGCGAGCAAAAACTACAACAAGAAGCAGCATCCATTAACTACTAAACTGTAACCTACTAACACTCAACAGTACAAATACAAATACACACACCTAATATACGCAGTTTATCTCTCGGACTGATAACAACATCTAATATGTTACTTTATCCGTTTTTGTCTTCTTGTTTCTCAGCTACATTACAACTTCCAGGCATACCCGACATTTTTCTTCCTTCTCTGAGTCCATCATTCATGTGGTTTGTCCTTCTGTCCCCACGTCTCTGGTAGCTTTCGTTCAACAAAATTTACCGAGCCGTTAAAGCCGAATATTACTGTAACTCAAACTAATTTGACGAGAAGTGAAAGGACTGGTGTTTTGCTCGCAACCGCCGTACAGCGACACAAGTGTCGCGCGGCAAGCCCTCACGCCGTACGCTGACTTCAACTGTCGTTAACTTCTTCGCCTCACGTGAAAGCTACAAGCCGAAGTTAGAGCTCGTGTGTGTTGAAGTAGAGCTTTTCTGTATTATTAGCAGACAACATGGAGGGAGCCGACGAGTTCTTGAAGTACCGTTCACCGCTGGTGTCCAGATACGCCAGCAAGGAAATGGCCTACAATTTCAGTGACAGGAAGAAATTCACAACCTGGAGAAAACTGTGGATTTACCTGGCCAAAGCTGAGAAGGTTAGACACATTGGCTGACATTTTGCAACCACAGATTGCGATTTTAAAAACCAAACATCTACGACCTTTGGAGAGTCTCATCGAGTTTCCTGTTCGTCTATATATAGTTTTGAGGAGCAGGAGGAGTGTATAAGGATGATAGGGCATTCTGTAAACACTAAAGGTCACAAAGAGTTTCATTGTAAGTAAATAAACATAAAAAAACACATGTTTAACCATCTCTTTGTGCCCCACAAATATCAACATTATAGTTTAATCTTCTGTGGGTTTTGAATGGCCTATTTTGTTTGGCAAAGTTATTAAATTTAAAAAACACAAACTGGTCATTGCTCTGTCAGTTTTACAGATATTGTCCAAACAAATTGGTGTGGTAGTAGCCGAGGGTCATTCACAACACGCACTCCCAAGTGCTACTAAACAAATTGTTTGTTGTAAACCTTATCTGTTAGGAAAATATCTCTAGGTGGTTTCAATGAAACTCTTTGTACCCTTTTGAAGTCAACCCATTCAAGATGACTACCACCATCAACCGACACAAAATAGGTGTAACTCTTAATTTTGCAAATGTTGGGCTAAAGTTTGACACGGTGGTAGCTGACATTCATTTACAACACAAACTGATAATTCCTTATCTCACTGCTACATCTGAGCACCACAAAAACAATAACTGAGCTCTGTGTGGTATTTCCTGCATAGAAACAGCATTATAACACATCCTCTTATAAACACTGAAATACTGCGTGTACGACTGGCTAAATGTGAAATAAAATAATACAGAAATACTATTCAAAGTAAGAGTTTTACACGCTGATGGGTTGTGGTGAGTAGCTGCCGTCTTTAGTTCTGACTTTCTGACAGCCTGGAGGTGTGTTTCAGTTTAAATTTATGACTTTTAAGTGGGAAATTCCCACTTCCCAGTACAACTGGGCAGCAGCAAAAGTAGCCAGTAAAAAATGCAGCAAATTTTGCCAGCAATAATTAAACCCTGTGCACCTCTACCTAGTGGTGGGATGCCATTATTTTTTTTGCAGGTAAAATAATCAACATGCATTATGGGAGATGTAGTTCATGGCCAACGCTGGCTTTAAAGCAGTTTATTTTAAGACAATAATACATTTTTGAAGCTCTCGCAGGCCACATAAAATGCTGTGGCAGGGCCACATTTGGCCCATGGGCCTTAAGACTGACTCGTGGGTTAGACCTAAACAGCTACAACTCCATAATTTCTCAACATAACATTGTCTAAAACAGGAATGTAAGGCCTTTGAGTTTTATTGTGTTCACCAGATTAGCAACACAACTTTCCACTTGAAATACTTCATTATCATTCAACTTATCTGGAAACGTTTGGTAATACTGTCTGTCTTCTCTACAATCTCAACACACACGTGCTGTCCTTGTGAACGTGCACTCAGTCGCTTGATTAGGCTGGAATGTCTCTTCATCAGAGGCAGCAAACGTCTAATAAGTACAGAAACAAAGAGAGGGCGGAGGAACTGGGTCAAACTGTACGATCAGACTTTAGACAAGTTAGTTCGGAAGAGAAAGAGAGAAAATGTGAGAAACTGCTGTGGTATTCAGGTCAAATATATATATATATACACTCACCGGCCACTTTATTAGGTACACCACGCTAGTAACGGGTTGGACCCCCTTTTGCCTTCAGAACTGCCTCAATTCTTCGTGGCATAGATTCAACAAGGTGCTGGAAGCATTCCTCAGAGATTTTGGTCCATATTGACATGATGGCATCACACAGTTGCCGCAGATTTGTCGGCTGCACATCCATGATGCGAATCTCCCGTTCCACCACATCCCAAAGATGCTCTATTGGATTGAGATCTGGTGACTGTGGAGGCCATTTGAGTACAGTGAACTCATTGTCATGTTCAAGAAACCAGTCTGAGATGATTCCAGCTTTATGACATGGCGCATTATCCTGCTGAAAGTAGCCATCAGATGTTGGGTACATTGTGGTCATAAAGGGATGGACATGGTCAGCAACAATACTCAGGTAGGCTGTGGCGTTGCAATGATGCTCAATTGGTACCAAGGGGCCCAAAGAGTGCCAAGAAAAGATTCCCCACACCATGACACCACCACCASCAGCCTGAACCGTTGATACAAGGCAGGATGGATCCATGCTTTCATGTTGTTGACGCCAAATTCTGACCCTACCATCCGAATGTCGCAGCAGAAATCGAGACTCATCAGACTAGGCAACGTTATTCCAATCTTCTCTCGTCCAATTTGGATGAGCTTGTGCAAATTGTAGCCTCAGTTTCCTGTTCTTAGCTGAAAGGAGTGGCACCCGGTGTGGTCTTCTGCTGCTGAAGCCCATCTGCCTCAAAGTTCGACATGTTGTGCGTTCAGAGATGCTCTTCTGCCTACCTCGGTTGTAACGGGTGGTTATTTGAGTCACTGTTGCCTTTCTATCAGCTCGAACCAGTCTGCCCATTCTCCYCTGACCTCTGGCATCAACAAGGCATTTCCGCCCACAGGACTGCCTCTCACTGGATGTTTTTTCTTTTTCGGACCATTCTCTGTAAACCCTAGAGATGGTTGTGCGTGAAAATCCCAGTAGATCAGCAGTTTCTGAAATACTCAGACCAGCCCTTCTGGCACCAACAACCATGCCACGTTCAAAGGCACTCAAATCACCTTTCTTCCCCATACTGATGCTTGGTTTGAACTGCAGGAGATTGTCTTGACCATGTCTACATGCCTAAATGCACTGAGTTGCCGCCATGTGATTGGCTGATTAGAAATTAAGTGTTAACGAGCAGTTGGACAGGTGTACCTAATAAAGTGGCCGGTGAGTGTATATAACTTGTATTAGGAGAAGCTGGATTGAGTTACAACCTATGGTTTTTAAAGGCGACGGGGTGCTCTTGTTGCTGAGACATTCTCTGCTATTCTAACACTGACAGACACTCTGCAAAAGGAGACTGCAACAGGCCTGAGCAACACCAGTGTGTGTGTGTGTGTGTGTGTGTGTGTGTGTGTGTGTGTGTGTGTGTGTGTGTGTGTGTGTGTGGAACATGTCATCTGAGGTGACACATGGGAGAGAAGGTCTGCCAGTCGTTCCCCTCCTCTGTGACTCGTGATAAAGGCAGCTGATGAAACTGAAAGCAGCAGATGTTCCTGTTGAGTTAGCCATTTTTGTGTTCGCTACTCATGATTAGTTGTGGTAGCCATCTTGAACTTTAATATTTAATATTTATTTATTCATTTAATTTAAAAACAAAACAAATTCTATGTACAACAAAAATACAAATCACAAATATAATGAAAGGCAGCAGAAAGAAGAAAAAAACTTATATCTGCCCTTATTTTCCAAAAATAAAAATAAAAAAATAAATTCAAAAAATAAATTCAAGCAGTAATAAAAACAAAAACATCAACTCTGTCTCGAACAACAACTCTTATGAACACACATTATACAATTTCATATTTGTTTAACAAATTGACTTTTATCATTCTTTTCAACAAATACATCCACATTCTTATTTTTTGGACTGAATTACACTGGTCCTTCAAATTTGGCTGACTCTTCAGCTGTAGCTGTACATCCAACGATTACTTTCTGAGAGTTTCACTCAAATCCACTCTGTGGTTAACTAGATATTTATATACTGTATATTTGCCTTTATTATATTTTATGATTTTTAGCTACAATCACGTCAAAGTTTAGCTCATTGTCTTACATAGGCTGAATTATGATAAAAAAGTATGCAATTTCAAACATAATTTTTAAAAATCTAACACCCTTGGAAATCCCTACTATTGTTTTGCTTTGTTGTCTGCATTTTTTTAAATGTTTTTGTCTAAAAAATCCAGCTTCACTGTTTATTTTATCTTGTTTCTCTTTCTCCGACTTGATTGTTTTCCTCAGGATTTGGGCCTGCCTATCAATGACGCTCAGATCCAGGAGATGGAGAGCCACGCCGAGGACATCGACTTCGTCATGGCAGCCGAGGAAGAGCGCAAACTCAGACATGACGTCATGGCTCACGTCCACACCTTCGCTCACTGCTGCCCCGCCGCCGCTCCCATCATTCACCTCGGAGCCACTTCATGCTACGTCGGAGACAACACTGTAAATACAATTAGGCTACACTGTTATATAAGCTAAGTATTTACGACTTATGAAAACAAAAACATAGTGGTTATCTTTTTGTATTTTTTCCTCAGGATCTCATCATGCTGCGTGATGGCTTCGACATCCTTCTGCCTAAGGTGAGACACAGCTGTTTGCCAGAGAACATGAAACCATCCATGTGTACACTCCAGCTGAGCCTCAGCTGCTTCAGGACAAGTCAGCAGTGTAGACATGATTGCACTCTTTTAATTATTGCCAGCAGAGAACAGCAAAGAGAAGACAATCATGTTTTGTTTAACGTTTGGAGTCAACCCCATTTAAGACTGTTGCCACAGCCAGCTGATCTTAAAAAACACAAACATAGCTGTAGCTAAGTCGGTTGTGGTCCCCCCAAAAAAGAGTTATGAATACAGTAGAATCGGTGACAAAGGGCAGCTTTGGCAGAGTCCAACTCTTGTGGTGTGTTCACACCAAACGCATTTTGAGCGTCAAAAACATCTCCAACGCTTGACGCATGTTAAGCACGTTGAATGCTCAAATCGCTCAAAATGTGCCGAGCTAGATGCACCGCAGCACTTCCTGACGCATGTCCACCATAGATTTTGCATGTAAACCTGATGCTCAAAACGCGTTTAGTGTGAATGCTCCATTACTGGAAACAAGCCCGACTCACTGCCGGCAATGCAGACCGCACTCTGTCACCGGTCATATGGGGACCTAACAGTCCATATCAATGGGCCTGGTACCCCATACTCCCGGAGTACCCCCCCCCCCCCCCCCYGACAGGACTCTCCGAGGGACACAGTCGAACGCCTTCTCCAAGTCCACAAAACACATGTAGACTGGTTGGGCGAACTCCCATGCACCCTCCAAGACCCTGCTGAGGGTGTAGAGCTGGTCTGCTGTTCCATGACCAGGACAAAAACCACACCGCTCTTCCTGAATCCAAGATTCGACTATCTGATGGACCCGTGACCTCCGTACCAGAGATTGGAGAGTCCGACCCAGGGTCCCCAGGCTCTGCTTCCTCATTGGAAGACGTGCTGGTAGGATTGAGGAGGTCTTCGAAGTATTCCGCCCACCGACCCACAACGTCCCGAGTTGAGGTCAGCAGCGCACCATCCCCACCATAAATAGTGTTGGTGGCGAACCGCTTTTCCCCCCTGAGACACCGGATGATGGACCAGAATCGCCCCGAAGCCGTACAGAAGTCTTTTTCCATGGCCTCTTCGAACTCCTCCCACGCCCAAGTTTTTGCCTCAGCGAACACCCAAGCCGCAATCTGCTTCAACTGCCGATACCTATCAGCTGTTTCTGGAGTCCCACAGGCCAAAAAGACCTGATAGGACTCTTTCTTCAGCTTGACAGCAGCCCTCACCGCCGGTGTCCACCAGCGGCTTCAAGGGTTGCCGCCACGACAGGCACCGACAACCTTACGACCACAGCTCAGGTAAGCCGCCTCGACAATGGAGGCATGGAACATGGCCCACTTGGACTCATGGAACATGGCCCACTTGGACTCAATGTCCCCCCCGGAACATGTTCGAAGTTCCCCCTGAGGTGTGAGTTGAAGCTTCGTCTGACAGGAGACTCTGACAAACGTTCCCAGCAGACCCTCACTATACGTTTGGGTTTGCCAGGTCTGACTGGCATCCTCCCCCACCAAGGGAGCCAACTCACCACCAGGTAGTGGTCAGTTGACAGCTCCGCCCCTCTCTTCACCCGAGTGTCCAAAACATGCAGCCGCAAATCAGATGAAACAACAGTAAAGTCGATCTTTGATCTGTGGCCTAGGGTGTCCTGGTGCCAAGAGCACTAGCACATATGGACACCCTTATGTTTGAACATGGTGTTTGTTATGGACAACCCATGACAAGCACAGAAGTCCAATAACAAAACACCGCTCAGGTTCAGATAGGGGAGGCCGTTCCTCCCATCCACGCCTCTCTAGGTCTCACTGTCATTACCCACGTGAGCTTTGAAGTCCCCCAGCAGAACGAGGGAGTCCCCGTTAGGAACGCTCTCCAGCACCCCATCCAAGGACTCCAGAGAGGGTGGGTAATCTGAGCTACTGTTAGGAATGTACAGTAAACCAGGACCTGTCCCCCCACACGTAGGCGGAGGGAGGCTACCCTCTTATTCATCGGGGTGAACCCCAACATACAAGCACCAAGATGGGGGTCCACAACTATATCCACTCCATAGTGAAAGCGTGGTCAACCGCTCTTGAGAAGACTGGTTTCAGAGCCGGTGTGATGCATCGAGGTGAGTCCAACTATATCCAGTCGAAACCTCTATTTAGGCTCACTGAATCCATTTATTGTGTTCATCATAAGAGGTCTTTGGACTGCACTTTGTCTGATCCCTCACTTAGGACCTGTTTGCCTTGGGTGACCCTTCCAGGGGCTTAAAGCCCCTGACAACTTAGGCTGCGTTCACACTGCAGGTCTTAATGCTCAGTTCCGATTTTTTGAAAAAATCCGATCTTTTTGTGTGAACGTTCACATTACATTTTAAATATGACCTGCATCAGACCCCTGTGTGAACGCTACACAGCCCTGATGTGACACGCATGCGCAGCAAAAGACGTGACGTCTCATCAGCCGGCTTGTTTGTTTACAGAGCTAGCATGGATGCTACATTTTGCGCATCGAATCAGAAGTTGTTGTTTAATCAGAGCCGATTAAATTATTATCTGACATGCTTCTTTAGTCAGTTATATCTGAAGCTGCCTCTGACCGGGATGCTCCAGTGAAGCTTTTTTTTTTTTTTTGAACGAAACTACGAGCTGGAAAAAAGTATCGACCAAGTATCGAACTTTAGGATCGATACTCTCCGCGACCCAGGCTGGACATGTTATTATCAAACTATCTACGTGGAAAATTAAAAGTAAAAAGATGAAGCAACTGGACTTGTGTTTTGGAGCTGTAAACACACAGAGCTACAGATTTAAACAGCGAGACTTGAGGTTAGTGTCTTATCGATCCTTCACCCCCTCCTCCTGATGAAAAAGTCAGATGAATGTGACATGAGCGTTCACACTGCAGTCACTTTGAAAACATCAGATATGTATCTGATTTAAAACCACATACTGAAACGGCCTGGGTCGGATTTGAAAAAATCGGATTTGTCGCGTTCAGACTGTCATAAAAAAATCGGATATGAGTCAGATGGGTCAAAAAAATCGGATTTGAGTCGGATTTGCCTGCAGTGTGAACGTAGCCATAGTTCCAAGGATCACTGGCACACTTAAACCCCTCAACCACAACAAGGTGGCAGCTCAGGGAGGTGTGTGTGTATGTATATACTGTATATAAATCTCTATTATATATATATATCCATCTTTCTACAGCTGGCTCGAGTGATTGACAGGCTGGCAAACTTTGCAGAGAAATACGCAGACCTCCCCACACTTGGCTTCACACACTATCAGTAAGTCTGTTCACAGTTTCACCCATCGAGTTGGAACAATCTTTTTGTGGTCAGTATCTCAACTTCCTGCTCTTTCTGCGCAGACCGGCTCAGCTGACCACTGTAGGGAAGCGAGCGTGCCTGTGGCTACAGGACTTGGCAATGGACATGCGGAACCTGCAGCGCGCCCGCGATGACCTGCGTTTCCGAGGGGTCAAGGGCACCACCGGCACCCAGGCCAGCTTCCTGCAGCTGTTTCAGGGAGATCACGACAAGGTAGAAAAATAAAAGTGCGACTGAGTACTCCAGCAGGTGAKGGTGGATGTGTGAAAATGTTGTTTAACACATTAAAAAAATATATATTTATTGTTTTTGACTCCAGGTGGAGGAGCTAGACAAGATGGTGACTGAGATGGCTGGTTTTCAAAAGTAAGTCATGCCTATTGTGTTTATTATTATTTATATGTTTATTATTTAGGAGAGCTCTATTTGTTCTTTTTAAACTATAGAGGAAGTGCTCCACTAGCTCAAGGATGTCCAATCCTGATCCTTGAGGGCCACCGTACTGCATGTTTTAGAGGTTTCTTTGCTCCAAAACACCCGATATTATCAATGGATGATTAACAGGCTTCTGCAGAACTTGAAGAGGTAATTTAATAGCTGAATCAGGTGTTTTGGAGCAGAGAAACAAGTAAAACATGCAGAATAGCAGCTCTTAAAACCAAGATTGGACACCCCTGGATTAGTTTCTGATTTGAGGTGAAGTTGAAGTATTTATGCAGAGCACCACAGCATGACACTACCATCTTCATGCTTGAAAGTTGATGTGTTTAGGGTTCTTTGATTTGAAAGCCTCGCCTCAGTTCCTCTAAACCTACTTGTTGTCCTTGCAGGTTGAAAGCTCAGTCGTAGGACAACATAGCTGCTTCACGGAAGGAGAGCCTCAGTTTAAACTGTTAGCTTTCGTGTTAGCGCCTGAGCTAGACCAGAGCAACAACATAAAAATAAGTTGCAAAAAAGTCAATCATGAAAAAAATATACAAGTATATTAGGCTGCCCTTAGGCCTAGGCCCTTGTGTAAGAGATCTGTGATCTCAATGGGMTTGTTCTGGTTAGATAAGTGTAAATAAGTTTAGTTGAAGTGCATGTTTGAAGAGATATGACTAAAACTGAAACTAAACCAGTTTCAAAATCGAAGGGGGAAACAAAGGGGACATCGGCACCTGGTTCAAAAAAGTTGTGTTACAATGGTTATGTTGTCTTTAAGTCTTTATCTGACTGTAGAAGACAGTTCTCTAGTTGTTCTTCTTTTCATACTCAGAGCTTACCTGGTGACGGGTCAGACGTACAGCCGTAAGGTGGACGTCGACTGTCTGTCCAACTTGGCCAGTTTAGGAGCAACTGTTCACAAGGTAAGCTGAGAACTTTAAAGAAACGTCTTCATCTACTGGTKTATTACTAACTTTGCTGCACATTTTCACAAGAATTACTCAGATGATGCTCACCTTTAAACGTCTGCTTTAGATCTGTACAGACATCCGTTTGCTGGCCAACCTGAAGGAGATCGAGGAGCCTTTTGAGAAAGAGCAGATTGGTATGTTTGTATATTACCGGTCTCAGACAGCAGAATGGTGCGGGGGAAAACAAAAGCATGATGTTCGGTACTGTCCTCCCCTGCCAGGTTCCAGTGCCATGCCCTACAAGCGGAACCCCATGCGCTCCGAGCGTTGCTGCAGCTTGGCCCGGCATCTGGTGGCGCTGATGGCTGACCCGCTGCAGACAGCTTCAGTCCAGTGGCTGGAGAGGACGCTGGACGACAGCGCCAACAGGTCAGACTATTCTGTGTGGCTCAGTCCATCTGTGTACGCAGCTCCACCTCCATCCCAGTCTCAATCAGCTGTAGCCCCATGTTCAAAAATAGCCTCATTGTTTTCATTCAAACACACTAAACTGCACCGTAACTAAAAAATCTAAACACGCTAAATCTCTTAAATGTCATTGCTCACTCCCGCTCAACTTTGGCTTCTTCTTCTTTTTTCTTCCTGTAGATTTTTTACATCCTGTCGACTATTTTCAGGCGTCAGTCAGAAAGGAGGTTGAGGGTTTCATGTTAGTTCAGTGGGCAGAGGGTCGGACCAAAGTTAGACCATGAATCCACTCTTTGGAACAGATTTATGGAGAGGGTGTGTCTTTCAYAGAGCAATTTGAATCAGTCATGATTAAGACTCGTCAGTGCCCAGGAACWCCAGGGGGTCAATTGTTATCGACTAAAAACTACCAGTTAATTGAGATTTTCTTATTTTGCCAATATCACCCAACCTTAGTGTGTACTCATTTCCCCACTGCTCTTTTTTGTTTACAGGAGGATTTCCCTCCCAGAGTCTTTTTTGACAGCAGACATCATCCTCWGCACCCTGCAGAACATCACAGAGGGTCTGGTGGTCTACCCAAAAGTCATTGAGAGACACATCCGCCATGAGCTCCCCTTCATGGCCACAGAGAACATCATCATGGCGATGGTTAAGGCTGGAGAGAACAGACAGGTAGGAGAGAGTCAAATATGTTGGACTCTACAAGGCAGAGCTGCCAGGAGGATCATGGGAGTTTAATAGTTTGGTCTATGTGTGTTTGTGGATCTGGAGAGGTCTTAGGACTGGGCTCCTTTGSGTATTTTGTGTGAGCTTTTCGGAGAATGGGGGCCAGAGTGATTAGAATGTCTCCTTAATGCATCCCTCAGTATAGGTCTTCCAGGCACGTTCCACTAGTAGGAGACCTGATGCAGAACTCTCCTGCAGGGATTGGACCAGTCTATCATGGAATGTGTGATTTAGGAAAGGGCTGTCTSTCTGTAAGACCCAACCATGAATAAGTGAAAGAAGATGAGTGATTTTTGTTTTATTGTTTGTTTATTATTCAGGACTGTCATGAGAAGATCCGTGTCCTGTCCCAGGAGGCAGCAGCTGTAGTTAAACAGGAGGGTGGTGACAACGACTTGCTGGCCAGAGTGCAGCGAGATCCCTACTTTACACCCATCCTGGGGCAGCTGGATGCCCTGCTGGACCCCAAGACGTTTATTGGCCGAGCTCCACAGCAGGTACATTATCATTATCTAAGGCTRCTTTTGGACAAATATTTTACTCATGAAACACGCAGACGTTCACAGTATAATTTTCTCCTTTTTTTTCCAATCCTCTCCTTAGGTTGCCAGGTTCCTGTCTGAAGAAGTGCGCCCCCTGCTGGAACCTTACAAGGCTAAGATGGATGTTAAGATTGAACTCGAACTGTAACACATACACGCCTACTTTTACACTCTGTGCACAGTTGGCAGATAAAGGGTCCATCATGGTGTTTGTGCACAATGACTACTAATTTATACCTCAATAAAGACGGTTGTTGAATTTGATTGTGTTTTTATTTATGCCTGCTGCGTTTGATTCCCTAAAACTAAAAAATGATCTCACTGTGTTGCATAGGAGAAAGAGACAAACAAATACTTGGTTACTATTTAAATTTTTGCTCTAGTATTAAAGAGGGGATACTATTTATTCACCCTTTCAGAAATCAGACTCATATGCACATGAGTGTGAGGTTGTAAGATTGCAAGGAACCCATTTTCACAAGCTATGACTACTCAATGAAGAAGAAACCAACTTTGTGTCTTTTGGAAATTTATTACAAAGTAGAACAATCAAACTTCATTGAATACTGAATAAAAATAGTAAAAATGGTTTCCGTGGATCCTTAAAATGTCTTAAAGGCATTGAATTCATCAAAAAATAAGTCCTTGATTAGCCTTAAAATGTTTTAAATCAATCTTTCAGAGGTCTTAACGTTTACACATTGTAAGTAGGATCATTGTAATTCTAAGTAGAGATGCACCGATATATAAAAATTTCAGCCAATCTCAATATCTGATATTATTATTGGTGTTATGGCTGATAACTGATATTTACCGATATTATACAGACACAAATTATTTATCTACATATACGCACAAAAACACTTGTCTTTTTTCGATACCATTAAAAAAATGACCAGACCGCTGACATGGCTCTACTTCAGTTATTCCTGGCTGCGCAGCATCACTAACACTAGCATGATCAAACAGATACCACTCAACAGACCGTTTCCCCTCCCAAAACAAACACAAATCTAAAAAGTGGGATATGATGTCGGCCATTAATATTGGACTGGTACTGATTTTCTAAAAAAAATGACCAACATCGGAAAATACCAATGTTAATGCTGATATATCGTGCATCCCTGATCTCAAATATCAAAACAACTGGCATATTTATATTTTTTATTTAATTTACAGAATGCCACTCTTAGCTAGTTGTTTTGTGTTAAAATAACCAGTTGGGTAAAATTGTTGCTGTTTTTTTTTTTTTTTTTGCCTTATGTGTTTGGTCTTGAATTTCATTTCAAGTGGCATTGAAAAGTTTTAAATTCAATTAGCTTTAAGCTGTAGGAACCCTGAAAAAATTAATAAAAGACAAAAGTAATAAAGGTGTAGAAAATAGTTTAAAGTAGACTTGATGTAAAATAAAAGTTGATGTTTAAAAGGTTGATGTTTAACCCTTTTAAGAAGGAGCAAGATTTACTCTCAAAGGGAATATTGTTGTCTTCTATTAGTTAAWTGACCGATGACCCAGTTAAAAATCTATAAAGTTTTGTCAATTTGGAGAGACGGGTGGTTAGGATTAGGGGTTCGTAATCTTACTACTACCTTAAATTTAGTTATTTAACTTCACTATATGATGACACTTGAACAACACCTTTAAAATAAATTATATTACAAAAATGTAATATTTCTCAAAGAAAAAAAAAACAGGCAGTAAGAAAGCTTTTAAAGAACTGTCAAAAGGTGAGAATCACAGTGTCCCATGACGAGGGAAAGTGAGAAGTTGGAAGGAAAAAAAAAGAAAAAAAGCTTTTTTGCATATGCATTCATGTTGATGTGATATTCTTAAAATATGTTCTGATCAATTTTTATTTTCATAGATCAACATAGGAAGAGTGTGGTGATCAAATAATTTTAAATAAAAACCACTAATCAGAAAAGAGTAGCAAGATAATTGTATTTTGATTGGATTATTTTTAATCTGTCAGTCACTCATGTGGAGTAGTAAGAGTATCAGAAGTAAAGTAGAAAATGATCAATGCATGAAATGAATCTGTTATATTGTACCTTTATGGTATTTGTTCATTGATTAATACATGATTGATTCAATTATGTCTTATTTTTATTTTATATTCGATTGTTGTGATGTACTTGGAACTAAAGGTAATCAAAAAAGTCAACAAATGTGCCAAAATTCCTCCAGAATTATGTGTAAATCTGGACTGATGAAGTCAGACAACCATTTCTTCAAATGATTGCTGCAAACATTCTTAGTTGCTGGATTATAAAGAGCACTTTAGTTTTTCACAGGTTTTCCTTTTTAGCTAAATTTTTATTCTGTTGTGTGTTTTTGTACTCTTCCAGTTAGATAAATACATTTTAGAACCTGGTAAAGACGTAAAATTAAAGAATTTTAGGAGGGTTGACTTGATTTTGTCATGAGTCTTCATATTAAACAAAATTCTAATCAGAATATAGGATTAGTAATTATTAATTAATGCAACAGTGATGATTAATCTTCCTGTCATTTACAGATTAGATGGTTTTAGAGAAAACATGGAAAAATAAACTTGTGCAGACCCTGTTTGTTGAGAGTTCTGTTGTAACATTTTTAATTTTATGTACATTTTTTCAATATAATAATATCAACTTTATCTTTAGCGTCATACAATCAGGCCTGTAAACATCCACAGTGATCTTACTCAGAGTTTCATTCCTGTGCCTCAGCAGAATCAGGACAAAGTGAAGTGATGGGGTGCATATCTTGTACTTGTGATATGATAAAAGTGAGGAGATATTTAACAAATTCTTGGAGTGTGAGAGAGCTCCATTTGCCTCTGGTCATTCCTCAGAACAGTGAGTACACAACTTTACTCTTGATTTGTGAGTTTTAGATCTTGTGTTTCATTTGGGTTTTATGGTCATTTTTACCATTCCCCCCCTGTGTGTTTCTCTTCATATCAGCCAACAGGATGTGGGTGTTTGTGTTACTTCCAATCATCACGGCGATCCTTGGAATAGGGGGTGCATTTACAGTGTGAGTTGGTCTTCTTGTAAAACAGATGTGTTGACAAAAAATGTGATGTAAAATGGTGGAAAACAGAAATAGAAGCAAAGAAAGCAAGATGTACTGAACTGTGGTCGGTTATTTGTATGTATGTACGTATGTATGTATGTATGTATGTATGTATGTATGTATGTATGTATGTATGTATGTATGT